TAGATATAGTGCTGAGTGAGGATGATAGTTGAGATGTGTCACAAGCACGGATTGTTCTCTTTGCTTTTCAAGTATGGAGAGCAATCCTGGGATACTTGCTTCTGTTATTAAGATCCAGCTGTTTAAACTCTGGTTAGTGAGACTATTCCATTGTTCTTTCAGTTTTGGTCCTGGATGAGGGTAAGACAGGTGTTGCAAAAATCACAGCCTCAGAATACAAACAATGATGAGGAGATCTGATCTTTTTAGCCAGGATCTTGCTCTTCCTGCCAGTTCTGGCTCCAGCTGTTCTAGAATGGCAGGTTTGGGTCAAGCCAGTAAATCATTACTCTGTGACCTTCTCTAATTCTCTAGTAGTGAAACTTCTGTCCTGCCTACCATCCCTTTTCACTCCCTTCTCCAGTGTAGTGCCAGGTCTCCAAAGCCTTTGAAGAGGAGATGCCCCTGAGTCAACAACAGCAGAGGGGCTTTGTGCAACGACTGCCATTTTCTTTACTTGGTTGTGCTGCCCCAGTATTGCTGCAAACACAGTTTAATTCCAGTTTTTCTACCCCTTTGTGCCTCACTGTTGCTCCTGATGTACATGGTGGTCATCCATTTATTTGTCAGGGGCTGGTGACTTTGTTCTGCTGTGATTAACTAGTGAGAATGTGGAAGAGGGAGCCTTCACCTTTACTTGTCACTATTTTATAGGACTCCCTGGTTGGTAATGTTACTCCAGGTTAATCTTGCCACTGCTTACCAAACTTAGATTTCATTCTACTTTTTTACATTCATTTTTTATTAAACAAATTATGTACTGTAAGTCTATGAGGAACAATCCTCAAAATGGAACAATGTTTAATCAAAAAAGAGTAAATGTGATGGAAGTGTAACCTACTGTCCCAGAGATCACAGTCAGCCCATGCTCCCACTGACCACCACTACCACTGCATTTTTATTGGCTCAGTGAAGGGTAGAATTTCTCAGTCTGAAAGAGTCCAGAGAAATTCCTGAGAGTGATTAAATGACCATGCTTTGACCCAGTAGCCTTATCAACAGAATTAAGAAAAATTTTCCTGTGCTATATTCTTCAGTGTTAGAGGATTGTGGATGCCTTTGACAATCTGAGAATAAGACAAGTGAAGATATTATATATAGGAAGTTCACAAAACCATGGAAACCATTCTGTGGTTCTTTACATCAATTCTTCAATCAGGAGAGTCTTCTCAACATATTCATTTTTTCATTGTTCCCTAGAGAAAACTAGAAGTAGGGAACTGTTCACACCAACAGATTCAATGGCTGATCTTAATGGAATCCTCCAAAGAAAGAAAAATATTTGCTGTTACAATCATTCAATTTGATTGAATAGTGATAACTGAAACCCTCTTAGGGATAGTCTGTATGCAGAAGTTGCAAAGATGAATGAATTTTTCCCTCCTTCAAAGAACTTTCAGGGACATGTGATATAAACAACCTTAAACTCCATGAAGACATTGAACAACATCTATGCATATGATATATAGTTTGTGTTCTATAAACATTTTCAGAGCAAGTAAGACAGAATATGAAAAATGTTGAAAACTTGATCTAAATAAACATACCTGGTTATTCAGAGAAGCGATATCTCACATTTAATTGAAGTAGCAGTGGGAGTTTAAGGAGAGTCTTGAGCGGTACATGGTGAATGATTGAAGGGATTTGGAAAATGGGCAGGAAACTGAAAAGGGTCCTGGTAAATGTGTCAGAGACAGGAAGAGTTGTAGACCAGGGAACAGGCAGAGCTATACTTTGGAGAATCTTGAGTGGATCAAATGGGGAAGTCGTCCAGATGAAGAAGACAGGTAATGGCATGCCTTTGCTCTAGCCTTCCTTCATTGAACTTTACTTTTGACAATGTTAGAGAGATCCTAAAATCTGTAACTTTAGTGAATCAATTGGTATTAACACCAGGACAATCTTTCCTGACTTCTAAACTTACTTTTGCATATTTCTCTCACATCTCCTCTTTTTATACTTTGTGTCATTTTATTTTCTTGGTGCCTCTGTTTCTCTCTCCATTCATCTAAATTAGAATTTGGTGAGATATGGAATAGTAACATGGCATGGCTGAGTAGGGGCATTATACATCTGTGTTGCAATAAATTAGAGTGGAAAAGTTAAGGAGTTTTGACCTATTAATTATCAAGTTTTCTTTATATGCTTTGAGAAACAATATAGAATATTATGAATATTATGCAAATACTATGTTAGTGAAAAAGTATGCCCAAGTCCTATTCTGATTTTCCTAGGAGCCATGTTCTCATTTTAATATGAGAGAAATCTTAATGTCTTGAATGTTTAGAATGCATTTGTCATGAGCTTTCAAGGGAGGGGAGAAAGCAGATAAATGGAAGGATTTTAAATCTGTAATGACCACATCTGGGAAAGAAGGGACCAGTGTAAACCAGGTATAAATGAAGTCTCTGAAGCTTCGCTTAATAATATTTCAGGACATCCCACTGTCACTGACCCTTCCTATATCATTTATTGGAATGCAGGAAAACAACACTGTTTTTTTGTAATCGTGTTTAAAGCACTAGCTTTCTTAGGGTTTCCTTACACTTTTTTCCTTCTCTATCTGTTTTCAGTTCCAGAATCAATGACTCTTGCCCTCTGGGTTCTGTTTCTTTTTAAGAAAATCTGCTTTGTGTCCTTTAATCACAATAAAGTGAACATGATCAGTGTCAATTCAGAGTGATACATCCCAGGGAAACATGGATTGTAGCCCAAGTCAAGTCTTAAGTTAAAGAACAATCTCCTGATTTAATTGAAGACCATACTTTCTAGGATCTCTTAGTACCCTAGGGGTTGAGAAGTATTATCTCTGAGCTGCATATAGGCAAAAGCTCTTGGGAGAGTCTCACTTTGAAAAGATAGTTTTGTTATCAGATTTTAGAAACCATACCAGTGAATCCAGATCAGTGAGGATTTTATATTTTGGCCTGTCTGAGTCATTTTAGATATTTTTCCTTGGTCACATTCTGAGACTAGTTCCCACTTTCCTAATTTACTAAGTTTATTATCAGCAGTATTCATCAATAATCAGTAAGTAAAAAGTAAAAAGTTAAAAAGTAAAAAGTAAATCAGTTAAAAAGTAAAAAGTAAATCAGGTAAAAAGTAAAAAGTTCTTTTGCTCTTTACTAATCAAGACAAACTTTTTTTAGCTAGTGGTTGTTTATTACAGGTTCTTAAAAATCTTGTTATTTTTATGAAAACTTTTGTCTAAAATAACATCAAATTTGTTTTGAAAAGTGTTTTGTTTTTATTGCCTGATTTTGTCTTTTGAATTGTTAATAGTACATGGGAAAAGAAAAAAAAAACATAGCTTTAAAATACTCATAACAGAATTGAAAAAGCCAGTTGGTGGACACCATACCATACAAAACACTTGGCAAAACATTTTGGTTTTTGCTTTTTCTGAAAGCTATTCTTCTTGGACCTACAGAAAACACAGCCACAAATTGACATCCAGATGGGCTCTAATTCAAGAGATAACCAGGGGGAGGCCCAAGTACCCCAAAGCGATGGAATTACACCTTGTCTTGAACAGATGGCAGAACCAGAGACCTGGGATTTCCTAAAATGCAACCAAAAAGAACATTTTGTCTTAGTGCGAACATGTTAAATATCAACCTTATTATAGAGAATGTTCTTCAAAAGCTTGTTTAAACATTGGCACAGTGCAGAAACAATTAGACTCTTTGTAATACTCTATGCTCAAGTGAAAAGGTGTGTAAAGTGGTCCTTTGGGGGGGACTGCATGGAGCTTAGGACAGGCTCAAGGCATATGAGCAAACCTGCATAACCTGAACACTCTGGAGCCATTAGTGGTGGCCAAATATAAACCTCTTCCTTGAGAAAAATGTCGAGCTTGAGTGACCCATCACCCCTCCCCTTCTCTCACACATTCACTCCCATCTGTCATCCAGGTGAGCCCCTGAGTAGAGCAGTGGGCGGTCAGCAAAGACCAGGGCAGGTTAGGATTAGGCAGTCCTCTCATTGCGTTGTACGAAGTGTAACTTAGATTTTCTTCTTGTTAGCCATTTATATGTTATTCATAACATATGTGTTATTAATAACACTGATATGTTATTCACTATGCTGCAAAGAAGTGTTCACATAACTGCCTCTACACCTTTCCTCATGTTGATCTGTCCAGGCTTTATTTTGCCTTCCATCTGCTCCACTGAGTCAAACACTCACCATCCTTTAGATGTCTTCCAAAAGACCTTTTCAAAACACATGAAATTATCAGAGTCTGTGATCAGTTCTTGTTTTACTTTCTGCCCTTTCCACTCACTGGAACATTTAATTGGCCTATGCCATTAGGTATATTTTGTTGTCTCATCTGTACACATCAGTTCCTGGACCCACGAAGCCAGATAAACTTAAACATATATCTGTATTTTGAAACTTTCCTTTTATTACTTACACATAGCTTAGCATATATATGTGTATATATATATATATAAAGTATATATATATAAAGTATATATATATATAAAGTATACAATATAGTTGACCCTTGAACACAGTGGGAATGAGGAACACCAATCCCCCCACATAGTTGGAAGTCCAAATTTAACTTACAGTTAGCCCTCCTATTTTTAGGATTTTTAGGGTTATCTGTGGATTCAACCAGTTGACATGCGTGCTTGGTTGGGCTGGTCAAATCTCTGAATGCAGAATCCAAGGATAGAGATAAGTCCACATAAAAATGAATTCATGCAGTTCAAACACATGTTGTTCAAGTCAACTGTATATGCATATGTTATTTATATCTGAATTAATGCCTACTTTCTTCCATAAACAGTAGGTGTTCTCTACAGAGAAAATTAATTGACACAATATGAAACTTTTGCAATTATAACAGTTTGATAATGAAATATGGTTCTCCTTTCCAGGTTTTGCTACATTCCATCCATCTATGCATGATTAGACTGACTCCCCAGAGGTGATGTGCTATGACTTTCTGAAGAAAATGAGTATTTTGTCCTCCTGGGCAGGGATTTTCCCTCTTACCAAGGTGAGTTGTGCTGGATTCCAGGAAGGATACTTCCAAATTCCATTTATTCTAGAGTGTAGAACAACATGCATGCAACCTGTTTCTTGCTCTAATATTCCCATTGCCCTTTGATGACTTTTAATTCTTAGGTCCCCAGCAAAAGGTATACTTGGACTTGTGCCAGGACTCCTGGGTCTTACTATGTCCATATCACTCCATGTGGGGAAGGGAAAATTAATAAAATATGGTTCTACTAATCGCTAATAGTTCCTATAATTACTTTATTTCTCTAAGAAAACTCCCTTTCTTCCAGTTTTTGGATGTCCATACACAGAGAACAGAAGAAGCCTACCATGTGCCAACTCTTGTCCTAGTTCTCCAAGTTCTTAGTAGCTATAAAGGCTCTTATTTTTCGCTTCATTGACCATCTGCTAGGGTTTCTAGGGCATCCTCAAGCTGAAGATTTTGGAGAGGAATAGAACTAGTTTGGAATAGGGAACTAACACACTTATGATATATAGTTACACATTTCCCTCAAAGTTTTCAAGCACTGATTTTCATGGTGTGTGTGTGTGTGTGTGTGTGTGTGTGTGTGTGTGTGTGTGTGTAGGAGGGGAGTTGATATACTGTGAGAAAGTCAGTGGTAATGCATATTTTCCCGATAAGTCACTCTATTGCTTCTAATTCATATTTATTTGAAATTTTAAGTGTGTATATAATTTGACAGTGGGTTTGAGTTACATCCATGCTTTGTGAGTCACAACTGATGGCATAAAGACAGAAAAACTTCCAAGTATGCACTAATGCATGTATTTAGCTGGCCTTTGGGATATTTCAATCGATTGAGCCATTCAGTGAAAAGATCCAACAAATGCCCCTAATTTGACATTGTTAGTTGTGGACTATTTTTTTCCCTCCTGTATCAACCACAGTGGCTAATTAGGCAGCAGATTCGAATCTTCATGAATTTTTCAGGCTGATACGTGTTCTTTCCCAGGGCTAATTTGCTGTTATCAGAGGGATGACTCTGGTGTACATTGTTGGTGGTGTCTGACCTTATTCCCCTATTTGGATTGAAATTAGTTGGGGGACTGTAGCCAAAGAGGTCATTTGGTAAATCATCTCTCAGAAAACAGGTCTGCTTTAGAGAATGTCTTTTTTTGCTCTCCATCATGCCCTGTCCTAGCCTGTGCTACTACAGAGCTTTATTGAGAAGAAATGCAAATCAATAAAACTTTTACTAGGGATTTCAGAAGCTTAAAAAATTCAGTAGAGAACTTAGTTATAAAATTTGTGTAGAGACCTAGAGTAATTCCATCCTGTGAGGTTTTTCTGTTTTCTGTTCAGAGTGATGGGGGATTGGCATGTACCACTAAGGGTCAAAACTTTGTGTAAGTAAATGAGAACTAAGGAAAACTGCTTTATTATGTGATTGCTGTAGCCATTGCTGTAGGTTTCTTGTAATGGCAAGTAAGGTCATCCTACTAAACCTTCTCCTGTGGACATGTAGGGGGAAGCCAAGGTACTAATCCATCCCCTGCAAGTTGTTGTTTCCAATCATAGCTTATTAGTGGTGGGAACTATTAATAAGTATCACACAACTATTTGCATCTGTTGAAAACGTCATCAGTACTAATTTCCACAAATTGGTTGCAATTTCCAGTAAGAAAATACCAATTAATTCATTCACTGAGTCTTGTAATGAGTTAGCCCAGTAGAGATTGGCACAGTGGTAAGAGTAGAGAAATAGTATTCAGGACTACAAGTTTATAGATTACACTTGGCAGGCCTCAGCACTTTGGATGTTTACCTTACCAGAATTTTTTAAAAGTCACTGTTCCCGACAAGACATGAAAAGGGTATCTCCAAACAGATGAATCCAATGCCTATATTTTTTCCTCTAGCAATATTCTTTCTTAATTTTCCATTGGGAAGGGACAATGTGATATTTAGCCCCCTTCACCCTCATGATATATAATTTGGGATGCGGGAGTATTACCTTTCAGTGCTAAAAGAAGCTGTTATATTGAAATACAAAGGGTCATTTTACTTATGGGTATGCATACTTTTTAATTAAAATTATTTTATTGCTTTTGTTAAGTAATTAAAATTTACAAAGTGATTTCTCACAAATATTTATTAATATTAAGTCATTTTTGGCATACACCAGTAAATTGCAAGCAATTTGCTTTACTCTGCATGTGTAATTAAAGCAACTAAGTAATTACATTTTTCCTAGAGTGTAGTTGACACTATCACATTTTTCTAAGTTTTGGTTCATTTTTATTTTCATTAGTGAATGTTTCATAGAAGTCCAGATAAGGAATGTCAGTTAGCAAGAGAAAAAGTAGCTACTTTTACTAGGCTTTGAGAAATACAAACAGATATCATGTGCCATGTTTGCATTCTCATTTGCTTTGTTTTCCTAGATGTCCTCCTCTTCCTTTATCTGCTGATCCTGCATCTTGTCACTATCTGGATAGTTATTTATATATTCCTAGAATGCATTTTTAATGGTTTCTTTATAGCATAACCTAACTACATATATAGACTTTGTAAAGGGCAGGAATTACCACTGAGCAGGGTTTCTAGGATTCAGCAGACCGGGTAAAGGAGGAGTCAGAGTCCTCAGTGGTTTTCGGCAGGTTTTTTATTGGGGTTCCCCAGGCATATGGCAGGCAGAGGTGCTTGGGGGCCAGGAGGCTGGCAGACCTCCCAGCCCCCAGCAAGTCTTCACTCAATCTGGGCTCTCCAGTGTTCTCTGCTTCTCTCTCTCAGCTTCTCCTCGCCTTCTGCTGCTTCTCAGCTTCTCTTCGGCTTCTTAGCTTCGGCTGGCATCCCCATGATGCCACCCTTAAAAAGCAGTCTTAGCCCAGGTGAATCCCATCTACCTATGCCCACACCCTATTCCAGGTGCCTGCCATCAGGCATGCATTCAGGACCTCAAGGATCCATCATCTATCCTGATGGCGGGAGGGCAGAAAAGCCTGACATTTTCTTTATCCTACAGACTTGTATTCAATATGGAATAAATAAGTGGTATGTCTATTCAACGAGACCATTTGCTCTTCAGTTTTTCCTCTTGCTTTTTCTTCCTCAGATATTACCAATTCCCTTGTGTGCCTCTTTAAACAACAAATGCCCTTTGGGAGTCTCTAGTGTACAGACTCCATGTCATGTGCAGGGATTTCTGTGCATATCAACTTACCTGTGGAACAGTTCAGCATCAAATGAAAGGAAAGACTACATCACGGTGATGATAAAGAAGAAAGGGAAACAAATGTAAAATAACACATCTAGGAAACACTGTCATTCTTAACCACAATACAGGATGAAGGGCTGCAGTGGAGATTAAATAGCTGTGCAGGATCTTGCTGAAGGAACATCCTTTAGTGAGTATGACATACCATAATGACAGAGTCTTGGTCTCCAGTCTAAGCTATGCATTCAGGGGAACAAAGTCAGAATTTTTTCTCTTGAAAAACAGAAATGGAAGGGGCTCTACTGAACACAACTTGGAACACATGTTTAGAAGCAAAAAAGTGGGACTAAATAATTACCATGAACCATTCTTTTTATGGCCAAGAGGGAATAACAACAACTGAATTTCCCCTTCCACCTGAAACAGCCTTCTAAAAAGAGACAGATTTGATAAAACATTCATTACCAAGAACTTGGACCTGAGACAACATAGTGATACATGAAAGATGGGAAACAAAGTCCTACAGTTTCCCAGATGAATACCTTAAGCAAGTTTCAGGCTCTAGCTTAGGAAGGAGTACACAGATAGAACTTCAGGAGATGCTCTGAGCTGGGCATCTAAGGAAATGCATATGACTAGAGTTTGCAGGGCAGACTGACAGAGGACACAGTTGCAGAGAGAGAAACTAGAGCACTGTAGAGGAGGGTGGCCCTCATGAATTGAGCAGAACACTGATTAGCAAATGATGGGTGGAAGCTGCTCCAGGCCAGGGAAAGAATCATCCGAAAGGATTAGAAGGGAGACCACCTGGTGCCTATCCAGGGTCAGATAGGTCACCAGCCTGACTGCAAACCTCAGCATTATGGTGGTTTTAGTAGAGTACTCAGAGGAGTCTTGCCTTGACAGTGAGGGATAAGTAGCCCCAGAGTAAATACTGCTGTTATCTTGCCTAAACATTCTTGAAAGAAATTTCCCAAAGAATCAAGCTTTTTCAGGTACACAATAACCCTGATTTGCAGGAAGCTGGCTTTTGATGAAGTGGGTGCAGAAGAGAAATATGCATTGTGAAAAGCCCTGCAGGGTGAGCCTTGATTGCTAGAGAGAAATAGTAGTCACAAATGACTGTGAACACTCACATACTTCAGCCTTCCTCCAGTCATAACAAGAATTCCAGCTAACTACAACCCAGTGCCAATTGCAGATCCTTGAAGAACTTCCCACATTCAAAGATCAGTAAGTAATCAACAGGAAGGTGCATAGAATATATCTTTAAAAGTGATCAAAGGAACAGGAAAAGTAAAAATGTAACATTACTAGTGATACATCAAGATGTTCCACAAAATGTTACTGAAATCAGTTGGAAAATGTGATTGAAGAAATCACCAAGATTTTTTTTTTGTAGCACATAAATATCTTTATCAAACAAAAATACAAGGTAGGGCAAGAGGTGCAAGAGGTTCTGTAACATATAACATATAACAGGAGTATGGGAGATAGGACCAGGATAGGAACAACTCAGAAAAGGAAAGGAAGAGAAAAACAAAACCATTATAGAAATGAAGTCCACCTGAACAGCATAAAAGTGAATTGACTAAAGGAAATGAGCTAATTAAAAGTAAACAAAAGGGGGTGGGGGGCGGGGAGGGGAGGGATTGGGGTCAAAATAAGGGGGTTGCAATTGTATATGGAATATAAAAATAAAATTTATTAAAAAAAGTAAAAAAAAATATTGAGATCTAGATGTCAGGATTGAGAATAGGGAGCAAATAGAATCAGAATGAACAAAATTAAAAACAATAGAAATAGTAGACATGGAAGACAAAGAAGGGGCTTTCAACTTAAGCATGGCAAGTATTCCTAAAGATAAAGGAAATACTAGATGAGAATACTATTTTGAGATATTAACAAGATAGTCACAAATGAGGCAAAATCTTGAGTCTTAGTATCATTTTCACTTCCTTTAAGACCCAATTTAAGGTTAATTTTAGCCAGAAAGTCTTTCAATTAGCAGTATGCTGAACTTAACCTATTCCTGCAGCTCTTTGTTACAATGTGATTTCCCTTCTATGATCACACTGGCTATTTTTCTTTTTAGTTTGAATAATTAAGCAGCCTTAGGACTGGGCTTTTCTTTGTGCTTTATGTCCTCTTTTGCATTTTGGACAGACTGTGCAGCATCAAGTGCAGTATAAACAAAAAAAAGACAAAGGACAAATATTTGATCAGGGAAGTTAAATGTATTTATTTTTCTTTTTCTCTATTACCCATATTGACCAACAGTGAGTTAAGGACACACTGGTGGCCTGAAAAGATTCCTGAGCCCCAGAGTGAGGTCAATCATAGAGCCATTAGGAGATGCAAAGTACTTCCCTTTGGCCACAATGTTACTATTTTGTTGATGACATTGATGAAACTTTCTTTCTGTGAAATTTAGCCCCAAACAGCAACAATTCAAAAACTCTTTCTTCCTGAGATCTTCTATTATAATAACCCCCAAAGGCACTCTCAAATTTTTCCTCTAAACTGGAATGTTGTTTTACTGAGTATTCTTGAAATAAGTAGAAATTATGTGGCAAGATGTTATGAACTAGGAAATCAGGACTCCTGGTCCAGATACTCAATCTTGTGTAACTTTGAGCAAAATTATTCATATTTCTACATACTATTGCCTACTATACTGGTCAATTAAAGCTTCAAGCACTGTAGAGAATGCTGGACAAGGAGGGAGGGCCCTGGAGTTCTAGTGCAGGGCTTATCTCTTCTTGCTCTGTGCCCTGGGAAATATCACTGGATCTTTCTTTCTTCTGTTCAATTCCAGGGCCCTAACAGTTCCTGAGTGGTTATAAATACTTAATAATTACATTTTGATAAAGAAAAATTTGTCTCAGTTTCCACAAATGTAAAATGAGGGGCATGTGTTAATGTGTTACCTAAAAACTGTTTCCACCCTAGAAATCTAACAACTCCCAGCTTTGCTCTGATTAGTAAGCATTTCTGTTGTGCATTTCAATTGCAGCAACTCTGCAGATGCCTGTTGTTTTTATGGAAGATGTGTTTGTCCCCATATGTGCTGTTTACACATTCTATGTAGATTGTAATGTCCATCCTCACTTGCACAACTTTTGAGAACAGCCAGACAAAAAGTCCAGAGGGCACACTGAAGGATTCTTACAGGAAGCTTATAGCCTGTCTCCTTTGGCTAATTTGCAAAAGCATTTTTTGATTTAAAACAGAAGGAGGGCGAATCCCTGGGAGAAAACTCACATCCACTAATGTTCCTTTTGGAGTGAGTTATGAGAGGAAGCCCCAGATGGATTATAGACGAAGGTTAAACTTTGAGACACTAATTTATTGAAAAGGTAAAGATAGTAAAGAACAGAAAGTGCCCTGAATGCTGTGTCCGCCTGTCCTTTTTTGCCCCATGCCCATGTGTTCCAGAAGTTTAATGATCTCTGAAAGGAATGTGTACATATGTAGAGGCAATGTCACCTAGACTCCTAAGGAAAATCTCTGCCCTTTGGAAAGGGTTGAAATGATCATTTTGATTTGATTCTACAATGAGAGGTAAATGGACAAACTTTAAAGAAGACATTTCATTTTAAGAGAACAACAAGCCTAATAGAGCTATTTGGGGGCAATAGTATCGAAGCCTCCAACAATATTCTGGAAAAATATTTTTGTACCATGAATAAAGTGATATTTAGTATAATACTTCATCAATTTGAAGGTGCTCATTATTTTCACATTTCTGAAATCATTTTATAACCAATAAAGTCTTACCATTATTGTGGGGCAGGTAAGAGTTAAGTCCAGTTGCTCCAAAAGAAACATATATTGTTATTATTCCTGGAAGGATGGCCCACTCTCTAACTTCTCAATGTTTTAGTCAATCAGTACACCTTGTAAGCACCATTGGAGGAAGGACTGTGCACACTGGTTCTGTTCTGAAAAACTTTTCTTGGCACTATCTGATAAGATAGAAAAAAGCAAAACTTGCAGAATAGGGCCAATGAATTGGATGAAAATTTTGGATACAATAATGGAACACTCTTTTCAGAAATGTTCTATCACCAATCATACCTAAGGAAAAGGACCAAGAGGACAATAACTGTAAATTTTACATTTTTTTATGTGGCATTACTTTAATATCTATTTTTTTGTTTTTCTTCTTTACTCAATTCCAGCTGCTTAGTCACGCATCTGCAGAGTGGTCATTCGGTACTGTTGTTTAACTACTAGTGAAAATCTTGTGATCAGATGAACTTTGGGGAGTATACCTCAAAAAAATTATTATAGACTTTCCAAACCATATTTCTCTAAAAATGAGGTGTGTAGATGAATACATTCATGAACCCACTTAATCATCTCTATAACCACCTTTTGCAATGTGACTTTGCATCAAGAATTGAGACTCTATTACTTCATCCCTTAAATCTGCCTGGCCTTGTGATTCACTTTAACCAAAGAAATAAGGGTGGCAGTGATGGCCACTTCTGAGAAGAGGCCTTAAAAGACCTGGCAGACACATGCCCTCTCTCAAAATAATATTACCATGAGGTGGGCAAGCCTGGGATCACCTATTGGAAGATTTAAGACCATATACAGAAGAGTCCAGTTGTCCACTTATGGGCATCCTCGACTACCTTATAGCCAGCCAGCTTTCAAACATGTGAGCTAATTCAGCTAACTAGGGTCAGCAGAGTTAGCCTCTACATGTATTTGACTGGAGACTTATGGTTGAGCCCAACTGACAACAGTATAATTACCTCAATGACATAGATTTGTGAGTGATAAAACAAATTCTCCTTGTTTTAAGTCACTAAGATTCGGGGTGATTTGTTACACAGCATAGCTCACTGATACATGAGGAAGAACATACGTTTCTCATAAAATCAGGTCATCCTGAAGTTCATATCAAGATGCTTTTTCTGAAGATGTTTTGAAGCTTTTGAATCCTACATATCCATCTATTTCTGCATTTCCCAGGAGTAGGAGCACTGAAATTCTCTATGACAGGCTGCTCTTGAGATATTTTCAACTTAGTTGGAACCAGGATTTGCCAGAAATGTCGTGAGACAGCTTGTTTAAGTGAGATTTCCTGCTTGGTTTCTTTTTTTAAAAAGGAGAAAGAAAAAGAAAAAAAATGATTTTTGGATGGAGTTCATCTGTGCTGGACACATTTGGACACATAGTGGAGGGGAACCAATGTGTAAGCATCTTCTAGTACTTTAGAAACTTTGGCAGTCTTAAACTACCTGAGAATTCTTAAGATTGAATGTTTGAAGTGAGATTCTAAATTAATAACACTGACATCACAAATTGCTTCCACAATTCCATCTCTCACTCCTCAAAAATGTTCTGTTTACAGATTGCCTTGTCTTCCTGTGGCTGATTCTTTGCTTAAACTGGGTATGTTCCTTTACTATCCTGCTTGTAAATTACTGGAAGATCATCTTCATTTCTCTTCAGACCTCACACTGAAAGGTGAGTTTTAGACACTTTACTATTTGGTTAATATTTTACATTTCAATATTCCAATTCAAACCAGGGAACCAGGGAAGCGTATGAATAAGACTTAAGCTATAGGTGCACATTTAGAAAAAAGAAAGAGCAAAGGATGAATATGTATGAAACTTATTTAAAATGCCATATTTATGAGGAGAGGAAAAATATTGGAGCCTCGCTTTCCTTTAACATATTTTCAAAACACCACATGGGATTGAGTGGGACCAAGTGAAAAGTATAAAATTTGTTGAGTGTGGTGGGTGTTTGAGTGTGGCAGTGCAGTAAAAAGTTGGCAGTGTGAATTATCTGTGGCTCTTGGATGGGAAGACTAGCTGAAGCCTTGGGATTAGGGGAACACATGGCTCTCTAGTGCCTGATTTTCAACAGGTCATTTGGCATGCTATCTTCCCTCTTTCTGCATCGGCTTACTTCATCTTACAAGTCAAGAGGTTAAAGGGCACCAGTTGTTCATCAGGCCAGCACAGGAGCTTGCTTTTTTCTCTGCAGCATCCTTATTGCCTTGGTGACTGCCCTGAACCTACACCAAATCCCTGTGGCAGTGACAACAATGCTACATTGTTGTTGTAGCCATGAAAATAAAGAAGAACCAGAGGAAATATTCAAGGGATTTTAATTAGACTGGCAATTATTTCAGCCATTCTATGCTCAGGTCTGTAGTACCTGAGCAGTCAAAACAAGAAATGGAAGAGATGCAAGAAACTAAGAAAAATAACACATGGGCACAGGAGGCATAAATGGAGGAGTTAGTATTCATAAAGAAAGTTCTGGTTAAATCAGGTATGGACAGCTGTTCTTTGGGAGTCCATGCTGCAGTCAACATGAATAACTTAGGTGCATGTACTAGCATAGGAAGGTCTCTATGCATATGGTTGAGAAAAAAAATAAAAGCTATGACCTACACTTGGGATCATTTTAAACCAACTAAACAAAACTATATATTTCTAACCTGTAAGTATAAAAATTCATAGAAAATAATTGGGATGGCCTGCATAAAATAGTTAACTTTGTCAAGGCACTAAGGTATGGTACAATGGCTAGTCAGAAAGTATTTTTGTTTCTCATAAACTAGCTGAATTAAATAAACAACTTAAAATGATTAAAATAAGTGAGGTATGGGCATACGTAAATAAATTTTATTTACCAACAGTCCTTCCTCCCCACTGTATACATAAAAGCAAAGTCATTCACCTTCAGGTTCCTTATTTTCTGTTTGAAGAATATATATTTTCATAGATATATTTCATATTTTAATAAAATGAAACATGCTCTTTTCTTATTTCCATAAATTTTTCTTTTAAGTTATCCCACTCTCCATTTATCCTTCCCTTTCCTGAGGGAAATGCTTATTTTTCTTGGTTTGAATTGTATGGCTACTACTCTTTCACTCTCAATTATTAATCAATCACCAAGAATTTACCAAGTACCAATTTTATAATCAGCCATGGGAGATATATTAGACATAGCAGACATGGATTCTTCTTTTGAAGAACTAATTGATGGTAGAGATCACCAATAACTAAAAGAAATGACTTGAAATTAGATTTCATGGTAGCATATACACGAAACAGTGCAAACTTAATCCATAAAGCTTCCATCTTTCTTTACTTCTGGAAAGATTCATTATTTACTATATTCTAGACACTAACCTGGCAGTTGGGTTTATGGCAAAAGTAAGTGAGAATGTCTTGCCCTTATAGAACTTTTATTCAAGTGTAGGAAAATCCATATTAAAGAGGTCAACAAATAATGAAGATAGCTTCTAAGTAATATATGCTATAAGAAAAAAAATAAAGGGTGATATGACAGAAATGATCTAGGGATGAAATTTGCTAGAAAGTTCAAGGAAGCCCTCTCTGATGGGTTGATATCTGAGATGAAACTTGCATTTCAAAGGGATCCAGCCATGGGAAAATCTGGGGGAAGAAGGTCACAGGCCAGGATTACTTCAAGAGTAAAGTCTCAAGATGGACATAAGCTTGGTGTACTGGAGGGCTTGCCAGGTAGAAGAGGTGCTGAGAAGAATGATGAGAAGTATTGAATACTTTGGGCTATAGGTTGTGTGCTGTTGGGAGTCTATGGCAGGACCTGTTTGGAGGGAGTAAAAAATACTTTCAGTGAGAAATCTCATAAATTCTCTCTTTGTGACTCTACCTTAATGGGTAGGTGGCTCTTTCTGACCACACATATTATGAGAAACCCCTCCAGGACATTCCCTCTGCCCCCACCTTACACAGGTTACTCTGGAGTAGCGTTTGAGTCTGATGGATAAGCATGGAAAAGAACAAGGCATTTACCAGGGAAGGGAAAAACCAAAACCAAGTGAATCAATAACATTCTCCTAATCGGTTTCCAGAAGCATTTGTCTATGCGAGAATGAGATGTTTGATATTCTGGTTGAGTAAGTTCTTGATTCCAGGTCATCAATTATGATAATAGAACAAATCAAAAAGTTTCCAGCAAACAGAAATTCTTCATTTCCTGGCTCCTACTCAACTTTATTGATTGGACTATTGGGTAAGACTATAAATTTCATGCAGAAATGCTAGAAAAGATTCTGGCTGGGACCTTTGCTCTTTCCAGCCTCACAAAAGGGTTGAGTCACCTGTGATGATTTGCATCATTCATCATACACCTCCCCTGCTTGAGGACAGAGGCAGGTGCTCATGGACAACACTGTCTTCACTCCTGTCTGGGAACAGTGGCCGCCCATATGTGTTACATATTCAATTGCAAATATCTATAATCTCCATTTTCTTCCAAAATATTTCTTTCATTTATCTTCTAAAATGCTAATCATTAGAACTCCTTCTTATAGTTATAAAATATAGGCTTCTTAAATAAATATGCATTCCCAGGCAAGAGGGGAGAACTCAGTTGTATGACTCACTTATCTTTCTAAATAGGTTCATGTTAATATTCATATTTACCTGGAGAGACACTTTAAAGAAGTGAAACTTACACATAAGTTTTGGAGCCCAAAGACCTAAGTTCAAGGCCTAGCTCTTTCTCTCACTAGCTGTAAGACTTGGCACATTGCTTAATTTCTATGAGCCATACCATCCTCCTCTGCTAAATCTCAACTTTCCCTGAAATTTAAATGAGTTTGTGCTTAGTTTTGTAAATGTTAAAACATCATATAAATATAGACTATTATAAATGCTTTCAATAGACAAAGCGAGATTTGTTAATAGGATTGATGTCATCATCATTTTGGAAAGTACTAGCTTTCAGAGAGGATTTTAAAGAGCAAAATCCTGTGGCCTTTCAGTAAATTTGGAGTATAATAAAAAAGAATAACATTTAATGATCTCTTACCATGTATTGGAGAAGATGCTAAGTACCTTACATACATTGTTATTTCATCTTCACAATAATCCAACAAGGTAGTTTTATCCTAAATATTGGTAACTAGCAGAAAGGTGTTAGGCATTCAGTAGCCCTGCTGTCCATTCAATGGGGCCACTGATGCTGGGTTTTAGAAAGTTATCAATGATGAAAAATCTTAGAAGTTAGAACTCCATACAAGTGCCTAGTGAAGGTGATATGTTGTAGGAGAATAAATGCTCACTTGGAGACCAAGTTGGAACTATGCTCATATTATTAATTTTATTGCAGATAGCACTTTGTAAACTCACATCAGTTTTAGTCCAGTTATAATATCCTTGTTGTTTTGTGTATTAGGAACAAGGTGAAATGGTGGATGCCTCCAAATCTCCATTTTTTTTCAGCACACTTTCCTCTTAGACCCCATTCTTTGACTTGTACTCAAAAGAACAACATTTGACCTTTGTCACCTCTCCTACCCCTATTCCTTGACACACTTAGCTGATTTTATCTTTGAGTCATTTAAATTTTATCCCTAGTTTAAATTTTACCCCTAGTTTAAATTTTACTTCCACTGTGATAAGACAATATTTTCCCTAAGAACCAGAAGTGGCGTTTTACTAAAATTTCTTTGTAGATACTAGCCCAAGACTAATATATAGCAAATAATAGAAAAGTATTCATAAATAAATTGTATTAAAATGATGTGGACTGGAAGCAAGTATAAATTACATTTTCTTCCTACTAAATATTCCATTTACTTTGACAAATTGACTGAGTTCTTTCCCACCATTTAGTCTTAGTGTTTTATACACTTTTACATAGAATGGGGAGAAAAGTAGGAATAAAGGATTTCTCTGACACCAAAGATGTGGATATTCTTTGAACATTGAGTGACTGATTAGGGGGAGAACACCTTTATTGAAGGCCATCATTTTCAATTAAAGGTTCTAGAACAAATGCTCTCTTAAAAGTGCCTTCTTCCTTTTTGAATTCTAAGTGCCCCTAGTCCTGGAAATCCCTCTTCAATAACTTACACAACTTCTTCACCCCATTTCTTCCTCTGAAATCCTAAAGAATGTCATATCTTTCCCACCAGTTTAGAATACCTGCTTGTGGAACTCCCTTCTTTAATTAAATTTTGAGCCCCTCCCACCTCAGCTGTTTAGACTGAATTCTTGGGGGATTGAGATCATGTCTTCTCTGGGTCAGAGACTTCCAACTCAAGTCTGTTGTGAATTCTCCTGCCCAAACACATCTTCCTTCAAGTCCTTCTTATAGTTTTAATCAGTACTATTTGCTTAGTAGTTAATTATTTGATGTGACTCTTATTTTTTATCTTTCAAATAATGGTTTCAAATCTTTTAATATGAAGGCCACAGATTGACTTCCTATCAGTTTCTTATAGTGTCTAGTCAAAGTTGTGGGGAGAAGAGTGTTCATTTCTGGCAAATTTTGATGAATGAATTGCATGCATACATGCATGCATGAATGAATTCCTCTCCTGTGACTTCATGGCAGTATTGCATTTATAATTTCTCCCTTGGCATTTCACTTGGCTTAGTGGCTTTTAGTTGGATAATTACTGTACAAATGACTTCTATATCTCTCACCAACCATTTAAAAAGTCAAAT